GTGCTAATTAAGAACCAGTCCACATAGTGTGTAACCATCTGACTATAATGATTGTAGAGTAGGAATTAATGTCTTTACCCTAAAGCTTGACTTAGACCTACCTACATAGTAAATGGAAACTCTTTTTATCCCTACACCGCAATCTTCCACGGCGTTGAAGTCATTGTGGCATCTGTTGATCCGATGTGGTTACATAGAACGTTGAGGCATAGGATTAAAATTGGGTTCCAGTTATGCCGTAAGTTATAATGTATATTTGACACAAAGTATAATTCATGTGTCACTCCTCTTAAACGCGTTAATCAATCTGGATGAAATTACTATATAAACTGCCTGGGGTACCATGATTATCAGCATCTATATATCTTTAGGGAATTGCAGTTTAAAAAGAAGAATAAATATTTCTATTATTCATTTTTGGGTGTTTGTGAACAACCATTTTTCCATCTGACTAAAAACAGTAATATGTATAGTAGTGATAAAAAGAATAACATTGTAGACTAACTCACATGTCTGTGTTTTAATACCTTAGCAAAGCAAACAAGCAATGCAGGCCTGACAAAAAGTAACCAATGATAGTACATTACTCTTTAATACTGCACTATGCAAACACTATGACTGTGACTTCAACATGACCGGTATTGTCAGAGAGTGACCAAGGCAGCTGAGGGGTATGCTACATGGAAGGTTCAACACAGCCAGGCTTTCTTTGGCTCGACAAAACCTAAGTCCACAGCCGGTGATATTGTAATGGTGATTATCAACTTTCTCCATTAAACTGGGCCTTCTGCTTTAGGATCTGTGTGTGCTCACATAAAAAGGAGTGCTTCACGTGCCACATTACTCTTTGTCAAAATAACCCGGCACCGCCAGTGACTCCTTTTACTATCAGATGTTTTGATGATGATAAAATTGTGATAAAAATTTATAAAGAATAGAACAAATAAAAAAGTAAATCCAACTCTGCTGCAACTAAGAGATTAATGCTGCATAAAATTGTTAATCTTGAGATTTGACACGCAGAGTGATGAAATTAACATTTTAATTCAAGCTAATATATTGATTTTAATGCTGAGTGCACTGTTGGTGATGCTGTTTATTTTTAACATGATAGCTGCACTTTAGAGTTCAGAATCTTTAAAGTGGGTAGATTTAAACATTAATGACTACTCATTGTGTTCAGCTCTGACTGTCCCATACGGTGTGAAAATTGCTTTAGTTTCTCAGCAGATCAAAGGAAAATGTGTTTTAGGTGAACAGATATTCTACTGCATGACGCACACACACACACACACACACACACACACACACACGTTGTGTTTCCATCACTTCTGGGGACATTACATTAACTTCATTCATTTCCTGGAGACTTATCCTGACCCTACCCATCACAAGTCCCTGCCTGAACCTAACCCTAACCCTGACTCAAGCCTTCACCCTAAAATTTTATGATTTACCTTGCAATTTGTCCCCATAAAGTAGGCGAGACCTCACAATGTTTGTAAACAGATTTTTGTCCCCACAACAATAAATAATACACGTCCACACACACACACACACACACACACACAATTACTTTACCAACTGACCCCTGAGCGCCCAAGTGTCAGCTCACTGTCCTCACTGTCTGAGGACAGAAAGTGCACATTCCCTTGTTTTCCTTCCATAAAAGGTTTTTACATCCATGTCCTGTAATTACCAGTAGATTGTAAAGTAAAATGATCATATAAATGCACACAAACACATCTCTACACACATATGCTAATGCAGTATATTGCCTGAAAAAAAACTAGGCTAACTGCACAGTGTTGCCTTGAGGCAACGAATGAAAATTAAGTTTTACTGTATAAAAAAATTTTAATAAGTAGAACAAACAATCAAATATGCTTCTTAACATATTCATGCACATACAAGTATTTGTATAACATTTATTTCACTATAAACATGTAAAATAGTGATCTTTATCTTACCTCCTAATGGAGATGTCTCTCATGTAGTGCAGCTTGCAGAAAAGCCCCCCCCCCAAATGAAAGTCACACCACCTTCAACTCATCATTTTATTGGAAAGAGATGTGCCTGGTAGCATTGTTTGAAAAAAAAAAAGTTGTTTTTTTTTGAAGGGCCACCGTAAGGCATGAAAATGCAACGCTATGCAGTAGAGGGTTAAGATAGGGATTTGGATTCAACAAGTACAAAGCAATGCAAATATAATATAAAAAATAATGTTCTAAATCATATAGGAAGTAATTAGGGAATGTAATACAAAGAAATAATGTTTATTACATTTCCCTTTTTAAAACATTTTTTAAAAATTATTTATTCATAATGACCCCAACACTGTTCTTTGCATGACTGGGTTTGTATTCCACTACATGACAACCCCTGACCAGTCAGCACCAAAGCTTGAATTATATATGGGTGAGAGTCATGTTTTCAGCTTGCAGTGCAGTGCAAGGCCACATCTGTCTTCAAACTGATTGCTTTTACTGGTGGTAATTACCTTCACCAGCCCTTCTGTTATACTGGGTACACAAGCTTAACTGTGATTTTGC